TGAGACAGCCAGGTTCGAGGAGCACCTGGCTGTCGCGTTCTGACGCTGAAATTCCTTCACTGCGTGCAGCCAAAGGTTTGGACGAGAAGGCCGCCAAGCTGTGGGTGGGCTTGACGGCTGCGTTCTGAATGGCTGACACGTACTCGGCGCACTGACCAATCACCGAACTCCGTTGCCCCATCTCCTCGCAATTTAACTCTGAGGAGACCAGGCTCGAGGCGCACCTGGTCTCCGATCCGACAAAGCTCGTTGTCGCCACCCGTGAAGTCGACGACGCCACCGCTGACCGGGGAGTTGCCGACACCGGAGCCGACGGCGACACAGCAGCGCAGGGAGTATGCGACACCGACGATGGACACGCAACCGACGAAGACAACCTCGACGATTTTTGTTCCATCCAGCCAGAGGCAGAGCTGAACTCTCCGCGCCGTGCGCGGGGCCGGGGAGCAACGGTGCGAGGGTCACTAACGGCGCACCGCCGGGCAGTCCCCACTCGCACCGCGCCCCCCGATGACCAGGAAAGAGGAGTCGCCGAACACGGCCACGACGCCCCTACCTGTGTCGAGCACCCGCTGTGGCTAAAGCCCCGCCCGTTTAGCCGCTTGCACTCCACCGTCAGCAGCGACCAGAGAGCGAATGTCCACCTGTGTGGCCGCCTTGCCCACCTCCTCCACCGACGCCTCGGTAGGTGAGCCTGCTGTCGCGCTCCCTGGGCTCGCCGAAGTCCCTGTTCCAGACTCGATCCCACCTGTGTCCGATGCTTGTTCCCCATCATCAGCCGTGCGTCGACGCTTCGATTGGAGGCGCTTGAGATGCTCCTTGTGCTGGTCCTGGGCTGAGTTGGCCTTCTCCAGCGCTTGCCGAAACACCGAACCAAGTACCTCTTGCAGCTGCTTCGCCACGTCGTTCTTGCGCTCCTCGAGTTCGCGAAGGTCATCCTCGGACACCTCGTAGCTGCCCTTGACCGCCTCCACGTCAATGAAATCGTCGCAAGAAATAAGGCTAGCCAGCTCCATCTCCCCGTCGATGAGCTTGCGCAGGCTGATGCTCGCGGGGCCTCTGGACTCCGTCGCTGGTGGTCCTTTGTGCTGGCTCTGGAGCTCCACCAAGGCGGCTGCCACCTCGCCATCGGCGGCCTGCAGCTCGTCAGCCAGGGTCCCCACCGTGGCCGCCAGCTCGTCAGTAGCTCGACGCCAGCGCTGCAGCTTCTCGAACTCGACCTTGAGGCGCTTCTCCAGCTTCTCCTGCTTCTGCTCAGCAGCCACGAGCCGCTGCCTCCCCGACGGCTTCGGGGGTGGAGCCGCCCTCTGCGCCAGTGCTCCATATCGCGCGGCCCCCGCAGCGTCCCCAGCTTCCCGAGCCAAACGCTGTAGTTCGAGGGCCTTGGCCTGAGGAATCTCGGGAACGGGTCCAGGAGGGAGAGCAGAGGAGAGGTTGCCAGCGCCTTTGCCACCGAGAGGATCACCCTTGCCGACTTTGTATCCTTTCTTCCCCTTGCTCGCTCCCTTCCCCGACTCATCCGACGACTTGGGGCCACCAGAGTCTTCCAGAGGTTGGGGTCGTGTACCGAGCTTCTGGCCACAATGCTTGCAGCACATCGATCCTTTCGAGTTCTTACGGCAACCGCAGTGGTGGCATAGAATTTCACCTTTGGGACCCGCCACCGTCTTCCATACTTCCTCGTGCTTGGCTCGCTGGCCGTCCCAGGACTCCCACTTGGCAGCCGATGAAGCCCCGCCCTCAGGTATGGTGCCCCCCCAGCGACGGGGCCTGGAGGCCTGAACCCACGGTCGGCGCTCCCACTCGTCAGAGCCTGCAGGAGCCATGGCGCGAGAAAGAGGAAAGGGATGATGGAGGCTCGCGAACCCCTCGACTGAGGGACCTCCTGAAAGGTTGATAACTGCCGCGGACTAGCGGTATCCGTTTTTGCCAATGCGGGCTCAGCCCGCCAAAGCATGGGTCTTGAGCCAAAATGGCTACGGAGGAGGAGGAGGAGGAGGAGGAGGAGGAGAAAGGACTCTCCCCCTCAGGCTCATTGACGCCACGCCGGCTGGAGACGGCCTCACTGGGCGGAGCCAACATCGCCGAACCGAGGAAGCGGAGGGGCCCGGGCAGCGCTCGGGCCTCACGAGCACACCTCGCGCTCTTCGAGGAAAGAACGCAAGCAGGAGAACGACCCGCGTCGACATCGGCGAAGCGCTGCGCACAACAAGGCAACTACCGCGTCCTCATCCTCCTCCTCCTCCTCCTCCTCCTCCTCCTCCTCCTCTCCTCCTCCCTCCTCCTCCTCCTCCTCCTCCTCCTCCTCCTCCTCCTCTTCCTCTTCCTTCCTCCTCCTCCTCCTCCTCCTCCTCCTCCTCCTCCTCCTCCTCCTGCTCCTCCTCCTCCTCCTCCTCCTCCTCTCTCCTCCTCCTCCTCCTCCTCCTCCTCCTCCTCTCCTCCTCTCCTCTCCTCCTCCTCCTCCTCTCCTCCTCCTCCTCCTCCTCCTCCTCCTCTCTCCTCTCCTCCTCCTCCTCCTCCTCCTCCTCCTCCTCCTCCTCCTCCTCCTCCTCCTCTTCCTCTCCTCCTCCTCCCTCCTCCTCCTTCCTCCTCCTCCTCTTCCTCCTCCTCCTGCTCCTCCTCCTCCTCCTCCTCCTCCTCCCGCCTCCCTCCTGTGTGTAAGGCGTACGTTGTAGCTCACACAGCCAGCTAACCCGGCCCTGTGCCCGAGAAGCCGACCCCCAGCCCGCCCAACAATAGAGGCAACATAGTCTCCGCCGCGCCAACGATGACGACGACGACGGCGGCGGCGACAACGACGACGACGGCAACGAGGATGGCGGGGAGGAGCAGGAGGAGGAAGAGGAGGAAGAGGAGAAGCAGCAGGAGCAGGAGGAGGGGCGAGCTTGTTCCCCGCCGAGAGAAACAGGGGGGGACACAAAACTAGAGACCTCTGAGGCGTGCGCTGTTGCTCGCACAGCCGAACGCCAACAACGGCCCTGTGCCCGAGAAGCCGACACCCCGCCACGGCAGGGGCGATCAGCATCGCATCGGGCCGCGCATCGGATCGGATCGGATCGGATCGTGCCTCGAACTGGGCCGCACCGGCACCGAGTCGGCACCGAGTCGGATCGGCCGCGCGAGGATAGCCACGCAGCACCGTGTGCGCACCGGGCCGTGCCGGCTCGACGGCAAAAGTCCGCACCGGCTCGGGCGGAGCTGGCCGGCCTCGCCCACGCATCGCGCCGATCGGATCGGAGCGGCCCCCGCCACGCAGAGTCCATCCGCGCACCCCGTGGGGTCCAACCGTGCGCAGGGCCCGCTGCCCCGGCGCGGCGCGGGAGGCCGGAGCACGCCGGCCAGGCCCTGGGCGCGCCCAGCGGCTCGGTCGGGCGCAGCCTCCTCCGGGCCCGGGCAGAGAGGTCGCCGCGGCGTGCCCCGAGTGGACAGTCGCGTTCCACGGCTCGCAGAGTAGCTGCTCACGGATGTCCTGGATCCGCCGCGGGGGGCTTACAGTCGGGCTCGATTGGAGAGGACACGCGAGAGCACACAAGACCCTTCCCAGGGCGACATCGCCATAGGAATATAAAAGGCACGGGCCTCTAAAAACAGGACACAAGGGTACCCTTGACTTGGCAGGGTCGACCTACTAATCAGGGCCGACCGTACGATCCATCACATGCAAGAAGGACATGGTGTTTTCTGAAATTTGCGAGAAGGCACTCTGCGAGCAGTGGGATGCGCTCGGTGACCGGAGCGGGAGTGCCCAACATTGCAGACAAGACCAAAACTGGGTGAAGACATCCGAACCCTACAGTCAACCCGTATAGTAAGGACGCACGATAAGGATGCAAGGGCCTTGGAAGGCCATTGCGACACTTTGCGAGCGGGGCGCGGCCAGCAAATGTGGCCGAGGATGGGCCGAAGGGGGTAACCTTGGAAAGTCGCTCATCCTTACTATGCGGGTTGATTGTAGGTGACGACATCCGAACCCCATCCCTAGTAACCTTGGATTCTCCCGAATCCATGGGAGGCGGGAGTAGGGTTCGGAAGTTCGTCGCATGTTCGATGAATTCTAACTCCTACCCACACAGCCCATCGAGTTGCCTGAGTCGTTGATCGGCGGGATCAGATTTTGCCGCCGACAAACGTGGTCTGCGCCACGTCTCGTTTGGTGTTTCTCATGGGATTTTGGTTTGCTCCTCGCACTCCCTTGTTATTCCAAGTACTGTCTCCTTCTCTGTGTCTCCTTCTATATCTTTCTTTCTCTCTCTCTCTCTCTGGATCTCTACTATACGACCTGCTAAGCATGTCTCCCCACTTCTTGACCGCCGGATTCTCCCCGCGCACGCTTGCCGCTGCGTCCCCTCCTTCGTCTAATGGCTGGTCACGTCATGTCAGCGGTCGACCGCTCGGCACGATCAGCCGTTGGGCTGAGCCGGGTTCGGGTGCCGCTCTCGGCCCTGGAGGTGGCCCTACATACTGATTGAGCCAGGTTTGAGATCGATAGATAGATCCCGCACGGCTACGAAGCCGGCCCTGCACAGGACACGGGAGGAAAAATATCATGCAGAGCTCACATGTAACACGCCGAGACACAACGATCACACAAGAGCACATACAAATACTGACAAACATGCACAGGCGACAATGCCACACAAAAACTGGAAAGCATGTTATTCTAAATTGAGGGGCGAATTGGGGGATTGGCGTATGGGGGGATGCACCGACCTGGAATCGGCGATGCATCGCCGATGGATCGGCGATAGGGCCCCGATGGTGGATCCGCACCTTCCTGGGCAGGTTCGGACTCTCGGGCCCCCATCGGCGATCAATGGGCGATTGGGGGTCGGTGCTTCCCAGCCCTGCGCCTATCTCCCCCCCCCCATCGCTGCCCCCGACGCATTGGCGGAGCGGGGTTGGCGCTGAGCCGGGCTGGTCAGCGCCCCACATGACAGGAGCCACCCGGTGCCCGGCCACACCGCGCGCCGCGGGCCGCAGGGCGCCCCGCCCGCCCCGGCCTGAGGCAGAGGGTCACCTTCGCCTCCTCCACCAGGATGCGGATGGCATTCTCGTGGACCTGCCGCCGTGGGAGAAGAGCCAGGGCGAAGGAGCCAGGGCGCGTGCCGCCACGCTGGAACGCCGCTTCCGCCTCGGGATGGGAGGACGCCAGGACGAGGACGGAACCTGGCGGGGGTCCTTCGAGGATCCCTGCGATCCGACGGCGCAAAAAGACGTACTGGGCGCCGCGGACTTCTCAAAGCGTTGCGGAGCGCTCCGAGAGCGTGCTGGAACGCTCTGGAGCGGATTTATCCTCGTGCTGGCCCCGTCCGATCGGGAGCACCTCAGAGAAAACCAGGCCGCCAGGACTGAGATTAGGTCGGGCGTGTCCCCCTACAGGGGGATTCGGGATGAAAAATTAAAGACAGTCAAACATATTCCAACATAGTCGAACAAAATACTCAAAACATCGACCCTCGACTATTTTGTTACTATTTGGGGATATTCCTCCTGTAGAGGGACAGGCCCGACTTCAGACTGGGGCGAAGGCGGACCGGGTTCCATCGGAGATCTCGGAGATCCTGCGGTCTGGAGGACGTATAGGGGGCGGCGCGGCCGCTCCGGAGCGCCCCGAGAGCGCTCCGGAAGGCCCTGGAACGATTCACACCAGCCCTGGCCCCGCCCGATCAGATGCACCAAGCAGGCTGGGTGGTACCAGAGTCTGGCACCAAAGCCCTGGGGAGTGAAGTCGGACTTTGCTGCGGAGCAAAAACTGCCCACCCCGCTCCGGCCCAAGCTGCCTGGAGCTTGGCTTTAGCTTGAGCGTTTCCATCAGCTGCCGACTCAGATTCACCTTCCGCCCAGACTTACGTATGCGCCGCCGTGCCGTGGCCGCTACGTAGAGTCTCCTCAGGCACCTCGGAGCTCTCTGCATTGGGTATTCGAGGGGTTCAGAACCCAGATACCCAGAACTCTTGCAGGCTCCCGCGCGTTCTTGCGGATCCCCGTGGGACCTTTCCCAGAGGCCTCGGGAGCGTGGCTGGTTGGAGGCAGGGCCCTCCAAGACGCTCCAAGATGGCTCCAGGTCCAGACATCCGGCGCTTCAATGTTTGTCGATGCGTGGACCCCCTCCCAGGCCTCGACAACTTTCCTGGGAGCGGGTGCCGTCCCGAGAATAAATCGCGCGACGACTCCGGGGCCCGTCGAGGGCCCCACGAGGGCCGAGCACGGCCACAAAACTGGCCGCTCCAGTGTTTGTCGGAGCCTCGGAGCGTGGGTGGAGGCCAGGCCCTCCAACTAGGGCTCCCAACTTCGCGCTTCGCGCTGCGCGAAGCGCGAAGCGCGAATAACTTCGCGCTCTCGCGCCGCCCTCCCAAAGGGAGAATAGGAGGACGAGGAGGAGGGGGAGAAGGAACGAGGACCGCGAAGCGCGAAGCGCGAATAACTTCGCGCCCTCGAGGGAGCCCTTGCTCCAAGCTGCCTCTAGTTGGTTGGAGCCTCCTTGGGGGCTCATTGGGCTGTCACGAAGGCTTCCCGAGGCCAGCACACGGTGCCCAAATTGCAGGGGGGGGATCAAACAACAGTCTCTTTTTCTGCGGTATGTTACCGCTTGCAGATTTTTGGTCTGAAAAGCGTCCACAATCAAGGCTCGACCTAACCAAAGTGTTCCGTGCTCGTGTCGTGCTTGTTTTCCCTTGTTCTGTCTTCATTCCGCCTTTGCTGCAAAACGAAAACAAAACGAGAACGGTCCACGAAATAGTCCTGACACCGTTTAGCTCAAGCCCTGCCCAAGACGGTCCAAGAGGTCCCCCAAGTCGCCCCAAGATGGGCCCCATGCCTCCAAGAGGGACCCAAGAGGCCCCAAAGACCCAAAGAGGGGCCGCATAGGAGGAACTCGAGCTGGGCGAAGGCCACTATGTACTACGATCCGATCAAGCTGCAGCGTCAGCTGTAGGCGTCGTAACAACATTTGCTTGGAGTTGGCGTTTGGTTCGAATTCAGATTACTGCTGCTCACTCTAGCTCAGTTTACGTTACCCGCACTTGGACTATCTTAACACAGGTATGCTTATGTTTGCATGGGACTGGCATGTATGCTAGACACCCGTTGGTATTTAGATCTGGCATTGGGCGGCGAACTTCGGTTTAGCTCCAGATGCCAATGTTTGATTAGGCTTCCCGAACGACGTAACAGTTCGAGTTCGCTTCAGTGTTTGCAATCGTCCCAGCTGCAACTCCATCATGAGTTCCAAGACACAATGCCAGCTTCACTTCATACTCCTAAGAGCTTGGCTGAACATTGAATCCCGAGTACATGTGGATACTATGCGCGTTGTTCAGGCTAGCGTCGACATCAGCCATATACCCGTTTGGGCTGTAGCATAAGTGCGCGCACGATTGTAGCTATGGTTTGAACGATCTGTCACATTCAACGCTGACGTTGAACCTATGCAACGTCTGCAATACGTTGCAACTGCTTCCTGCGCTAACGAACATGCATGCCGCCTTAGATGTGGAGGGACGCACCAATGTTGGTCAACTTGGTGCATGTGAAATTCAAGCGCACTGCACACGCGCGCCTCATACACACGAAGATCCGTGAAGATGGCCGCCCCACCAAGCAGGTGTGAGAACGTTTCACGCGCAAACGGCTGATCTGGCCCGCCTATCCATGTGCGAATGCAGCTGCACTTTATGGTTTAAAAGCGCAAGCGAGCCCCGTGGCGAAACGCAAGGAGGAGAGGAGGAGAGGAGAGGATGGGGGGACGGAATACAACTTAACAACACGAACCAGCGTGCGTTCTTTCTCTCACGGCTTACGTCCACCAGGAGACTCAATCGAGACGATCATGCAAGACGTGCCGACTATTACCGAGGGGATTGGGTGGGACGGTCGGGGCAGGAGGCGACGGGAGGAGGCGTAAAGAAGCTGGGAGAGGGGCCGGGAAAGCAGGAAGGGGAAGGGAGAGAGACGTCAGAGGCCTGGAAGGGGGGCGCAGAGGAGGTGGGGGGGGGGGACGATAGCAGAGGGGCAGGGGGGGGGGGGGGACGAGAGCAGAGGGGCAGGGGGACAGGCAGGGGTGGCGAGTACGGGCAGGCGAACTCTCTCCCCCCCCCTCCCCGCGTCCACGCCCCGCCCCACCTCCTCCCTCGTGGGCCGAGGGGAGGGCCTCCCCCCCTCCCCACCTCCCCCCGAGGGGAGGGCCTCCCCCCTCCCCTCGTGGGCCGAGGGGAGGGCCTCCCCCCTGTGGGACCATCCTCCCCCCCTCCCCGACCAGGAGGCCCCCTCGTGGGGAAGGGTCGGGAGCGAACGCGCGTCCACGGGGCGCCTCCTGGTCCCACAGCGTGCCCACGGACTCGCTGTTGCGACCCTGGACGTCCGCCACCTCGGGGGCGACTCCCTCCCCCACGCTCTTCCGCACCCAAGGACGACGGGGGGGGGGGAATGAGGAGGAGAAATAGGGCAACCCTCCCCACCCGCTTCCCTTTCCCCCCATCGTTTCTCCGTAGCCCCCTCCCATCCCCTCTCCCCTCTCCTTCCCGCCCCCCTTGCCTCACCCATCCCCTCCCGTGCCCACCTAGCAATCCGCTGTCACCTCCACTCCCCCTCCCTTGCCCTCCCGCGTCCTTCCATTCACCCTGCTGTGTTACCCCCTCTCGTTTTCCCCCCGCCCCCCTGCTCCATCAGAACCCTAGAATGGGCAGTTTCTTGGGGGGGGGCTCATGCAGCACTAAGGCGCAGACCACCTGAAGGCGCTGAGAACAGACGTCAAGACCAGCATCGATGAGCCACCAATCACCATCACGCTCGTCGAGCCCCTTTGGCAGGAGAAGCGCCTTTAGGCACAAGTCAGGCGAATGGCGCTGTGCGCGCACGGTGACCAAATTGAGCCATTCTGGAACAGACGTCCGAAAAACTTGCGACGAGTCAGCCCGTGCGCGCAGCATGGTTCCCACAGGGACACCATCGAACGGCCAGGAGAGCCAGGAGGCCTCGAAGACGGCGGGCCTGATAGCTCCAGATAGCAGAAGACGCCGCCAAACATCGGGTCGGGCGAAAGTGGGGGATAGCAAAGGGGGGGTTTGAGAATCAGCTCACGTAGCTGATTTTCCCGGCGCCTCCCGGCGCCGGAAGCGGCCATGTATCGAGGAATGGGCCCCTCGGTGAGGCCGAAACCAGCTGCATGCAGCAAATTTCGTAACCCCCCCTTTCCCAAACCCCCCCTTTCGCCCGGCCCGAAAACAACAGCGAGCTTTCCTCCCGCCCTCTCCCCGGTGGGGCGGGTGCCTCCCTGGCTTCGGGGACACACCTCGGGCCTCTATCGGTCGTTCGAGACGGCCCCGCTACCCCCCCGGGGAAGCTCTCGGCGAGGCGCAGCCGCTGGAGAGCACCCCGAGGCTGGAACACCGCCAAGGTCCCACAAAAAACCGGCCGAAAGCCTGGCACCTCGAACCCGAATCTCGACCTCGAACCCTCCCTCGGTTGCCCCTCCACTCCCGCGCCAGGGTCGCCAGAGGAAGCCGCACGCCTTGGTGTCGGCGGGCATGCGGGCCTCGAGCTGCATCAGCCTGGCGCGAGAAGACAGCTCGCAGAGGGCGGGCTGCTTCGCCCCAGGGCTGAGGTGTAGGCGGAAGGGGGGAGGGGACGAGGAAATGGTCAAGGACCCTGAGATCCAAGCGCTGCATGTTGTTCTTAAACCTGGGGGATGTCGTCCCCTTCTGGGCCCCAGGACCATCACAGTTCGATCCAGCTCGAACAATGCTACAGAAAGATAGAGTCTCGGGGTGTCCGGCTGGGAAGTTTCGCGATGTCGCCATGTGTCCACAACGTCGGATCTCGGCAGAGGAGGGAGGGAGGCGCCAGGGGAGGCAAGTGGAAGGAAGAAGAGGTCAGAAGGCGGAGCGAAAGGGGGAGAGGGAGGAGAGGCAGGAGCAGCAGCAGGATGACGCATCATGGGAGGATGGGGAAGAGGGGGGAGGAGGGAGGAAGACTACGAGAGATACCTGCACGAAGGGTGACAATGACAAGGAGGAGGGACCGGGGCGGTCGAGGATCCGAGCAATCGGAACTCGTAGAGGTAGTGGGTTGCCGCCAGCCTCGTCAGTTGCAGCAGATGGTCGACCAGAGCCAGCCACTCCAGCGAGAGGACCTGGGCGGGAAGAGCGGACACGCAACGGGGTAAACGACAGCCAGTCTGCATGACGAAAGCAGGACGAATGATGAGCCGACGACGACGGTGCACCAATGCGCTGGTGCCTCGCGAAGAAGGACATTTGCTTGAGCTGCATTGGCGGGTTCATCCTAGCAGGATCAGCCAACGTGTCCTCAGAACGCAGCGGCAGAAAAAAAGTAACGATGCCGTTCAGCAACATTCCGCGTGCTTTCTCCGTCCTCGTAGCACGCACGACTGCCAAACTCTTTCCTCTCCAAGTCACGCGGGCTGCGCCCGCCCCCACCCCCCACCTGAGCCCGCGTCGGGACTCCGATACGTTCACGAGTTATTCATGGTCCTGGCGCGGGCCTTGCTTCGCGACTCGCAACCACATCGGCAGCACGACTATGTCTACGTGCCACGGCGCGCTTCCAAAAGGGGGCCCTCCCCCCCGTCGCCTCCAAAGGTTCTACCTTGCGCCCTGTGCCCAAACACTCGCTGTGCTCAGGGGCTCTCGCGTCCCTCATATCGGGGATGGACAGACCCCCCTTTAGTAAAACGTGGTTTAGTGAAAACGACCTGAGGCCCAAACCTGGCGGGCGCAAGCCTAGAAAATAACGGCCACGGCGCCCCCTCGAGAACCGAAAACGGACAATTCACTAATCGACGTGTCACTGTTGGGGGTTCTGTCCACCCCCGATCATAAAAGAAACGCCCGTCCGGCATGTCGTGGCCGCCCGCCGACGCCGCCCGTCGCCCCAGCAGCCTCTGGTGGCCGTGACGACCTCGCACCTGGCACGGTGCGCCCACCTGGCGGGCTTGTGGCAGCCCGTCGCCGCCCGTCGCCGCCGTCCGCCGCCGCACCACAGGACCTCACACCACGTGGCCCGCGCCGCTTAGATTCTGTCTGGTCGAGAAGGAAAAGCAATTAAAACGACGCAAGGATCGGGACAAAATCGGATCGGGATAACTCGAATTCTCTGAGGATCGGCGGGTTTGGGGGATGTATTGGGCGCCGCGGCCGCTCCAGAGCGTTCCAGAACGCTCTGAGAGCGCTCCGGAACGCTCTGGAGCGATTTCGAGAAGGAACAGCATCGCCCGCCGCCCGTCCGAGACCGGACTCATCCGGCCAGCCTGGGGGTTTGCAAGTTACGTGGCACCCCACAGCTGCGGACAAGAGTGAGGGGGCGGGCGCGGGCCACGCGGGCGTTGAGCTGGCGGACCTCGTGGCCTTCAGCTTCCCTGTCGATGGCGCCCTCCTCCTCCTCCTTCTCCTCCTGCTCCTCCTCCTTCTCCCGTGATTTGCGTGCTCTGATAAGTTCAGCGCGGGGGTGGATCGCTGGTGGGCCACCTGGAACGAATGCAAAAACAGCCCGCCGCAGGCGTCGAAAATTTTGATTTGTACACTGAACGCGGTTTGGGTCGCAGGTTCTCCACCTGGAACGAATGCAAAAGAAACCCGCCGCAGGCGGCGAAGTTTTGGTTTGTTCAGTGAACGTAGTTTGTGAGTAACTAGCAAGCAATCGGGACCGAATCCGCCGCGTCCCCCGACGGTGGTCAGAGTTGGCTGCATCATGTGTCATGGTGTTGCTGTCCTGTAATGCTTTCGGCCGGCACACAGTTTTACGCTTTCGTCGCGCAGCGATGCAACAAATGTTGCGTTTTGATGCACGTATGGCAATTGCGTGCCCAATTATTTGCGATTAGCGCGCCTACCGCACACTTGTGGTGAAGTCGGTTTTGCGGAATGTCTGCAGCGCCGCGCGTGTCTCGCCCAAGGTCGGGGCTGACGGTGAAGATACGTCTCACGCTAGGTTCGAAAACGGTGCGCGCTGCAAGGTTGGCGTGACTGACATTACTGGCCGTCCAAACGCAAGACTATTTTTTTTTCAGGGCGCAGTTCCGCGCATTCGCAGGAAAGCGCCACGACAAGCCCCACACAGACTCACAAACTTCAGCACGCAGCGCGCATGCAACACAAACCAGCACATCGAGCCTGAATGCCAACTGTGCCGCAAAAGCCTTCGGTGCACCCCCGTGGAGGCCACGAGCGAACCGTGTGAAAACTGTACTGACATGGTCCGGGCGGCGGCGCGCGGCCTGTGCTACAACGGCCGGCTGTGGAGCTCCCTATGATGCCACGAACCGAATGAAGGAAGGACTGAAATGGTCTCGGCGGCGGCAAGCGGCCTGTGTGTTCAAAACCTTTGGTGGCGTTTCCTATGGGGCCACAAACCGTGTCAGGGCGCGCTGACATGGCCTAGACAACGCAAAATTGCCTTCGCTAGAAGACCTTCGGCGGGGTTCCGTATGGGACCACGAATTGCAAGAGCTAAAACATGAAATGGCCTGGGCAGCGGCGTGCGGCCTGTGCTGGAACGACAAGCTTCGGTCGTGCTCCCTGTGGGGCAACGAACAATGTGAGGGGGTACTGGAGTGGATTGGGCGGTGGCAAGCGGCCTGTGCGACAAAAGCCACCCGCGTTGCATCTTGTGGAGCCACGAACCGCGTGATAACGTGCTGTTATGCTCTCGTCGACGGCGTGCGGCGCGTGCAACAACAACCTTCCGCGTTAACCTCAATGAGGCCACGATACGCGCGATAATTGATTTGAACATGTATGGTCGGAAGCACGCAGCCTGCGCAATAACAAAAATGTTCGGCCGAACCTCCCATGGTGCCACGAATCGTGTGAATACAGAACTGAAGCGGTCTGGGCGGCGGCATGCGGCCTATGCCCAAAAAGCCTTCGGCGGGGTTCCCTTCGGGGCCACGAGCGGTGCGAAGCAAGACCTTCAGTGGACTAGGCGGCGGCAGGCGGCCTGTGTTACAAGGGCCCTCGGTGGAACTTCTAATTGGGCCACGAACTGTTTGAGGGGAGTGCTTCAGTTGTCTGGGCGGCGGCAAGCGGCCCGAGCTGCAACAGACTTCGGCGTAGCATCCTATGGGGCCACGAATCGAACGAAGGGTGTGTGACATGGTTTGGGCGGCGGCACGCATCCTTTGCTACGAGAATCTTCGGTGTCACCTTCTTATGGGGCCGCGAACCGTGTGGGGTGCGTGCTGGATTGGCATCGGGCAGCGGAAAGCGGCCTGTGCTACGGAGGCCTTCGGCGGGGCCCTATGGGGCCACGAATCGTTCGGACGGCGTGCGGAAACTGCATCGGCGGAGACAAAGCGAATATCCACCACGCAACAAAAAAGGATATGTGAAGAGGAGCTGAAGCGGCTTGGAGTAGGAGGCGGCGGTAGAGGGGGGGAAGACAGGAGAAGAGGCGTTCAGCGCTGCGGGCTCACAGCGAGGACCCAACATACATAATAATTAGAACAGAACGACGGCCTCCAAGAGCTCCATCACACCACTCTTCCGATGGCTCACATGCCTCCGCGTCGCCTCCAAGGCAGGCGAAGAACGGCTCGAAGACAAACCGAGTCCGCGGCAACGCAATCCCAAGCCTTCCATTGATCCCTCATGGGGCACCAGGGAGTCGCCAAGATGCCCCCGAGAGAAAAAACACAGCATCCCGATACGGCTCTAATACAAGACATGAAGACAGCTTTAGGACGGCCCACTGCAGGCCCCGCTCAGGCTCCATCAGCTCATTTTCGCACACCCAGTGTCATAATCTGGAGGCAGCATCGGTTGACTCCCCCGCCCATGCCCCCAACGACACGACAACTCTGGGACCCAGACAGCGCTGTGGATCCCCAGTCGCAACGGACTCGAGGGCCCCGGGGGGCCATGCCGAGCCCGCGCCAGGCCCCTCCAGACATGTCAAAAACCACTGCCGAGGGGAGTCCGGGCCCACCGCCGCGGGAGCGCCCATGGGGGCCGCGGTAGGTTCGGACTCCCCTCGGCAGTCCTCCCAGACGTGTAAAAAATTATGCCGAGGGGAGTCCGGACCCACTGTGGGGGGGAGTCCGGACCCACCGCGGGCCCATGGGAACCCTCGCGCAGCCTTTCATGGGCTTCCCCGCAAAACACTATGCCCCACCCCCTGCCCTGCCCGCCGCCTCCGTTTCTGCCCCTCGTCCCCCCTTGTTTCTGCTCCTACGCCCCCCTCGTCGATCTTGCCTCCACTGCCGTCCGCCCACGCACAGTGACAGTTCCGAGCCTCACCAAAATATATTGTTACTGTGAGGCACTGTTCGCCCATATGCTAAAAAATGCTCTGAACGCCTCTCATCGGAGGCGCCCCTCCCCCGCGTCATCCTTCGAATAGTGACCCCGCCATCGATCGTCCTCATCATGCTGGTCCGTCTTTCCGATGTTTCCCTTCTGCCCCATCCAATACAGAGTGAACCTGGCGAAAGAGCCAACACTTTCTGAACGCAGAGCGAAAATAGACAAGACCGCCCGACACGCGCGAACACAATGAGCCCGCATGCGAAATTTACCACAAGGGCCTCCGGTGGAGCTCCCCATGAAGCCACCAAGCGTGTGAAGACTGTGCTTCAATGGTCTGGGCGGCGGCAAACAACCTGCGCCACAAAACCCTCCAGTAAAACTCCCAATGGGCCCACGAATCGTGCAAGGCAGCACTGAATTGGCTTGGGGCGGCGGCTTGCGGCCTGTGCTCCACACTTGGCAACAAAACACGTTGGCCGCGTGCTGAAATGGTCTGGACGGCGCAATGCGGCATGTGCCGCAAACGCTTTCGGCAGAGTTCCCTACGGGGCCACGAACCGTGAGGGATGTGTGCTAAATGGTGTGGGTGGCGGCGTGCGGTTTGTGCCTGACGACCCTTCCGTGGAGTTTCCTCATGCGGCCGCAGATCGTGCGAAGACTGTTGACATGGCCCGGGCGGCGACGTGCGGCCTGTGCCATCAGCGTTTTCGGCGGAACGCATCATACTGCCACGAAGCGCATGGCTGGCGTTTTAAAAAGGGTCTGAGCGGCAGCATGCGCCCTGCGCTACAAACGCCTTCGATGGGGTTTCGTATGATTGGGCGACGAACCGTTCGATGGGCGTGCTGCAACGGTCTGCGCGGTGGCA